AGACTAAAAGAAGGAGCAATAAACTTACTTTTGCATAATCTTCATGAGAAAGTCATCCGAACAGATGGTGGAGAGGAGACCCGGGTAGAGCTTGCACTTGACGACGCCCGTCTCCTTCAGGTCAATGTCCAGGGTGGCCAGCGACTGCTCCACCGGGTGCTCAAACTGCACGTAGATGTTATTGAGGTTGGTGGCGTTAATCTCAAAGACGTGGCAGGGCGAATCTTTAACCATGAAAGAAAAAGATTAAAATCAACAAAAACCAAAACTCCCGTCTCCAAAAACTCACCGGTCACTTCAGTCTGGCGAATGATGCTGGAGATGATCACATTGAAACGGACCTGCTTGCGAAGGCAGTTCAGCACCAAGGGCACGTGCGTCGGGTGGGTGAAGGCGATGCGCTCAATGAGGATGCCCCTGATGTCCTCCGAACTGCTGTTCAGGTAGTAACAGTGACTCTGGTCGGGCAGCGCCGCGTAGAAGGCACTGCTGCTGCTTCGCCGATGCCGAGAGCTGATGCGCTGCCCGGGCAGACACTGCCGGGCAATCAGCTCAATCAAGTTCGACTCCGGCTGTGATGTTCCGGTGGTGCTAGTCAACTCGATGCCGGTGATCTTGGCAATCTCCCGCGCCTGATCAGCGGCGATCGGCAGCGGCTTGGTCAGGCGGAGGACAAACACCGCCGGAACTTGGGTGGAGTTGGACGCCAGGTGGTTCAGTATCTCGGGAAACTTCTTCTCCGCAGTTGGATTGGTGATCAGCTCGCAGAGTGGCTTCGTCTGAAGTCTGTGGTGGACGGCGCTCTCCTCGATGCTGATCTCCGCTGAGTAGCCAATTTTGCGTTCGAGTATGGCTAGATAAAGAAAAGAGGAAGGTTTATCTTTTGATAAGGAAAACGCGTGAAAGCCTTACTATCAACAGTGAATGGAAGTGTGTTCTTGGTCCGCAGATCAATCAGATCGTAGGGAGCGACGAAAAAGATGGTCTTCATTGGATTGCCACCGGTGCGCGGCTTTAAAATTCCCACCGGCGACCTGAGAATCAGTCGAGTATCTTTGTGGCAAAAGTCTCTGTCTCTGAAACGACGCAGAAGTGAGCGAAAGTTAATAAACATTGAACACGTAGTTAGTTTTTGCCATTGCAAGGGAGCTTACTTTGAGCACTCAAAGAGAATGTTCAGATCACTTTCCAGTGATTCAAGAGCAACAAATGCCCTGGATTTCACCTTCCTAATGACAGTAGGAGCGTTAGTAGCTGTGGAGCATGAATCTCACACCACAAAACAACATACTTGTCACAATCAACTTTATAAATTGCACTTAGTCCCTCGAGATGTTTCGTAAACTCGCTAAAGTTCCGCTTCAGCAGAATGGACTTGAGTTCTTCACATTGCTTTTAGAGGATTCAACAAAAGACAAAAGAACCAGGTAAATAAAAATGCGCCACCAAACAATAATCCGACTTTACCTCATTAGCAGTATTTTTAGCATCAGTGTGCACCACTTTTACATGAGCGACGCATCCCGTTTCGGCGTCAAATTTCACCTCAACGTAGTACATGTCAGAAGAGATGAAACACTGGTTGGCGGTATTGTGAAACTTTAGTTTCATTTGACGAGAAATGGCCTCCAGCCGTTCCACCATAGAATGGAGCGACTTCACCTCGATATTATTCTGCAGTGTGTCCAGGGCGAGCTGCAGCTGAACCTTATCATTGCTGTCATTGACAAAGGGCCGCTTCTCTAGAAGACTCTGCTTTAGTGATTTTGACAGATCATTCCACGATTTCATCTGATTCGATTTGCCATGCAGGCGGTCCATCAGTATGGCCAAGGTAGCGTCATTCACCGGAGTTGGCCCGGACGCTGCTGCCAGAGCATTAGTCAACGGGGCAGGTGTCGGGTAGGGCGGAAGAGATGAAGCCGCAAATGGAACCTTGAGATGGTTGGCCACCACTTGATCAGGACCGTTGAGGAAAGTGGTCCCATTGAAGGTGGCCATTCCATTGGGATTGTTGGTGGTAAAGACGGCACCAGCGACCTGGTGTTGATTCACCATGGGCAGCATGACGTTGCCGGCGTATTGCATCCTCACATTGTGTGGAATCGACGACAGTAGGGTAGCAGTGTTTTGTGATGCCATCATGCCGACACTAGGATGGCGTTCACCACACAATAATGGCACTGAGGAATAATAATGATGGAATAATAATGAATGAGGAGGATGAGGATGAGGGTGAGGGTGATCTGTAGCTGACCACGGCACTGCGAGTGCAGCTGCAAAATGCAAAAATAATGCGCTCTAAAGGCAAGCTCACTAAGACACCATTATGAGGCTGCTGAGATGAGATGAGGTAAGAATCGGTGTAAGAGGTGAGAAGTGCAGAAGATAATCAGGAAAACAAGTGCAGAGGATGATGTGAATCCTCGAGAGAGAGAGACAGACAGACAAAAAGAGCTCGAGAAAGAAAAATAGAACCGCGACTGTATCGACTTTACCTGTGTGCGCTCCAGTGACTATTGCCACTCCTATTGCTGTTGAGTGCTGAAAAAAAATGTCAGCTGCTGAAGCTGCTACTTGATAACACTTGAGAGATACGGAAAATTATTTTCAAATCTTTTTCTACTCGGCGGAAATCTTCAAAAACTCAGCGTCAAAGATGATGTCCAGATCGGTTCGCGCGGAGACCCGAAGTCGGGCAAAGGACGACATCAAGAGAGTGATGCACGCAATCGATAAAGTCCGTAAATGGTACGTGTTGTAAAGAGGCCTAAGATTTTATTTGCCATTCTGTCATGATGTCGAACTTTTTGTGCAGGCAAAAGAAGTGGGTCACCGTCGGCGAGACGTCCATGAAAATTTACAAATGGGTCCCGGTTACCAGCTATGATGAATCGGTACGCTCTGAGTTGTCCTTTTGAGAATCAGTGCCCCTCTAAGCCTCTTTCCTTTGACAGACATTGCGTAATAAGACAAAATCCGCCGCTGCTTCAAGCCCGGAACACGTGAATGATAACAAGGAAAACTCCAAGCCTTCACACTCGCTGTCTGCCTCGATGATGTCACTTGATGATTCGAATATCGGCTTCTCAGAGAGCAGTCAGGAGGGCTCCAACTCAATGGTGTCACAGTCGATGATGGAAACGAATGACAGCAATATGGCCGCCGGCCCGTCATCTTTGCTGAGAGGGGACTCGGAGAACGGCAACTCGCAATCTCAAATACCTAATGCTCCTTCGACATCAACCAACAGCAGCAGTAAGGTGGTCAATAAACCCAATCTCAGTGCACTGCTTGAGAACAGCACTGATGCACAGTTTCCCGACAACTACGAGAGTTCCAGCAAGTGAACACTTGTGAAGGCAACCAGTGACAGTCACCCCGACCCGACCCTACTGATCGGATCACTCTTAGCATAACCAAAAATAGTTCTGAGAATTATTCTTAACCGGTCCCATCATAGTAGGATTTTTCCAATTTCTATTTATAGACTATTATTGCCATATCGCCCAGTAGCCCATTTATCTAGTGCACTAATTAATCATCATCCCCTCCTCTCTTCTTCATCGTATCAGGCTCTACTGAACTGGTAGGGGCGGAAAATAAAAGACAAATATGACACAAGTCAACCCAACCAAATCATAAAAATCGAAGTGTAAAATGAGTGTATAACTCCAATAAAATAATACTTAATGAAAGAAATTGTGATTGCTATATAAGATTCTTTGGTCTAGCTGCTCATAAATAAGTTTGAATAAATGAATGATGAATAAATGACTTTGAAAAGATTAACGATTTGGCTGCCAGAATTATTCTGATGATTTGGGAGGGGCAGCAGCCGACTTGAAAAATGGTTGTAGATTAGGAAAGGCGATTAGATGAGAGAGTTTTCGTCATTAAACATAAGTCGAACTGAAGTTGCCGAAGTGCTGCCCGAGCTGCTGCTCGAATAGCCGCGGCTCACACTGGCCGCAAACGGATTCGTCGGATGGAATAGCTGCTGCTTGAGCTGGTAATTGGTCTCGACTCTCTGCGCGAGAAAGTTCAACTCTTCAATGCCCGTCTCGAGATTGGCAACATCTTGGCCTATCCGGTTGGTTGGACTGGCGAAGAGTTGTTGGCGAATTCTGTAGAATAAAGACAACAAAACGGTTACAGGATTTTGTTGATCAAAAGTGCCCCTAATTCCTACCTCAGTCGCTCCTCAGGTGTAACCTTTGAACAAGCGGGTGACTCAAAGGTGAACGGGGAGTAGAGCTTCACTGGGGTTGGTTGCTCGTTGATCGGTGCATAGTTTTCCAAGTTGGCCTTGGACTTTTTAGAGTGCTTGAGAAGCTGAAATGCAAAACAGATGCTATATTCTCTTGAGGAAGGATTAACAAGTGAAGCCACTTACCGTTGAGAAGGAATTGAAGCGCTGCTTTACATTGGCCAGACCATTAGCTGCACTGCTCTTAAAGTCCTGCAAGAGTGAACTCTTGGAGACCATTCGGTAGTTGTCCTTCTTCGAACGCGATTGATTCTTCGGCAGCGCCGAGGTGGACTTTGACTTGGCCGGCTTGTGAGCCGTTGTCGAGCTGTTGCTGCTGCTGCTCTTGCACGTTTGCATTCTCGAGGAGGAATGCGACTTTTGACTGTGGACCTTCTTGGCTTCCATTCTTGGTTTTAAACGTATTTGAATAAGTTCACACAGGTAAAGAGTTGCAGTCGACGGTCGGCTAATTCTTACAGGTAGACAGACCGCTGATGCAAAAAGTGCAACCGCCAAATTAAATGATCCGAAAATCTTCCCTGCCGATGGGCGGAGCTTAGCATTTAAACGCCGCGCTCACTTTGCACAGTGCACGTTATTCTTATTCGTTAACACGCGGAGATACGCGTGGGCTTCAGTTTGTGCTTTCACTTTGATCGCCGGTTGTGTTTTCACCATCATTTTGCTGCTGCTGCTGTGAACCGCATCAACTTGATAGATTTTCTTTACTTCAACAAATCTTTCCAGTATGGCAGAAGGAACAACATCGCCGGACGTTCAGTTCATCACTTTAACGGCAAAAGGCGTTCAGCTGTGGTGTCAGCAGTCGCCGAGCAAGTCGGTGCAAAACAAGTGGAGTTTACTGGGCGCCGATGCCAGCTCTCCCATCACCGACTGCTTCCTTTCCGATGATGGCACCTGTCTGGCCGTCACCCTCAGGCAGTCGGTGCTCATCTACCGCCAGGAGAGGCCAGACGAGGGCTTCAGCAAGCTGCACCTCGAGCTGCCCATTGCTGAGGCCAAGTCGATCAACTTCTCACCAAAGTCTACCTTTGTGGCGGTCGGCACCGCTTTGACGTCAATGGAAAGTAAAAACCTTCGGTTGTACGAAGTTTCTACGGGGAAGCTGCTTTACGGTAAGTGCTTTGGCTGTGTTGTGCAGATCTACATCTTTTACATTGAAAATCTTCCACAGAGCTTAACGACACCAAAAGAGACCTGATCAAGTGGACCAGCGATGAGTCGCTCGCCTACAGAATGGTCGGCTCTGAGCTGTACTTCTACGAGAACAACGACTTCAGCAAGCCAGCCAAGAAGATTGCTCAAAAGATCGCCTCCTACTCGCTGGCGTTCAACAAGCTTACCGGGCGAATTCACGTGGCCATCATGGTGAAGGGCGTGAAGAGTACGCCCAGCTCCGTCAAAGTGTACTCCTATCCTCATGTGGACAATGTAGTGGCGCAGCAGAGTCTCTTCAAGTCCGACTCGGTGGACGTCAAGTGGAACTCAAAGGGTGAGAGACATTAGAATGGTTATAGTTTGTATACCAATTCTAATTGATTCGTTTCGCTCAACCAGGTGACGCCATGGTTCTGCTGGCCACCCAGGACATCGACACCACCGGCCAGAGCTACTACGGCCAGACCTTTGCGCACTTCCTCGACCTGAAGGGCAACGCCTGTTTGGTGGGCGGAAAGAAGGCCGGCTCGGTGCACAGCTGCGAGTGGCTGCCCAACAATGAGGGCTTCATTGCCATCTACGGGAAGACGCCGGCGGCCATCACCCTCTACAACCCCAAGGGCGATGCGATCTACCAGTTCGGCGAGGCGCCCGTCAACACCGTCCTCCTCAACCCCTTCGGCAACCTGGTCGCCTTTGGCGGCTTCGGAAACCTCGCCGGCGACGTCCACGTCTGGAACCTGAAGAGTCGCACGAAGATCTCGCACTTCCAGGTCTCCGACACGACGCAGTTCGACTGGACGGCCGACGGCCTGCACATGATCACCAGCACGCACTACGCCCGCCTGAAGGTGGCCAACGGCTTCAAGGTGTGGGACTACCTCGGAAACCACCTCCACACTGAGGGCTGTCGCGATGACCTCAACCTCCCGCTCTACCGAGTGCTGCCCGTCGCCTCCTCGGCCTTTCCCGCGCCCGAAGTGGCCGCCACTGTAAAGGGGAAGATTATGACGGAGAAGCCGGTGTACAAGTACGTGCCGCCCTCGCAGAGGACAGAAAAGCAGCGCCGAGAGGCGGCGAAGAAGCAGGCGGCGCTGAAGAGTCGGCTTCAGGGAGGGCCAGCAGCAGCTGCCGCTGGCGATGTCTCCGGGAAGGAGAAGAAGGTGCAGGCGTTGGAGAAGAAGCTGCAGCAGATTGAGAAGCTGAAGCAGTCGCAGGCGGAGGGCAAGCAGCTGGAGAAGAACCAGCTGGACAAGCTGGAGAAGGAACAGGAGGTCATTGAGGAGCTGAAGGCGCTCAAGTTGCAGGGATGAGGAGTGCTTTTCTGGTAAATTAACTTTTTTACGTNGACAAGCTGGAGAAGGAACAGGAGGTCATTGAGGAGCTGAAGGCGCTCAAGTTGGAGGGATGAGGGGTGCTTTTCTGGTAAATTAACTTTTTTACGTTTTTTTATTAAATGATGCATTAATCAACTGCTTTTTTGTTTCCCTGTGTTGAATGTGTGTGTGTTGAACGATTCTTCAAGGTCAATTTGGGACTGTGTTATTCTCCCCTCCCGTTTTTGTTGTTGTTGAAGAGCAGGTGCAAATTGACAGAACCTCTCTTAAAGACTGAAGAAGAAAGAGGAAAGAAAAGGACATGTGACATTTAATCCCCTGCTTTTTCTTCCCCAATTCTCTCAATTCTTTCAATCGCCACCCGAATCGAATCGGACACAGTACACACCGTCCATGCCTGCCTGCCTACCTTTTGAGTTAATAAGCAAACAACAACAAAAGCAATGAGAGGGGCCAAACCGTTGTCGTCGTTGTCATCATCGTCGGTCTTTGCTTTCTCTGCATTCTGCTTTGTGTGTGTGCCGAGTAAACATGTCAATAATTCAGGACAGGTTGGCCGGTTCAGGACAGCGAAGCACAGTCAGCTCTCTTGCATAACTAATGCCTGCCTGTCTCTCTGCTCGGCCATCCAGGTCTCTTCCTATCCCTCATTCTGACAGCAGTGATCATGATGGAGCAAACTGTGTTACTGTGTGTCTCTCCAGTGAAGGTGCTCCCAATCTGTCTGCTGACCAGAGAGCAGTGTCACTAGTTCTTCTTCTTCGACTTGGTTTTCTCATTTCCCGGCGCCAGCAGAACTGAAGCTCTTTCTATGCAGTGCCTAATGGGCGCCCATTTGGGCGCCACGGAATTTGTGCTCTGTGCGCACCAAAGATTGCCTGATGCGCATGAAGAGAAGAGAGGAGAAGACATGCCTCCCACTGCCTTTCAATCTCTACAATTCCTATTCCCTTTCTCTCTTCCTCTTTCCCGGGCAAACTAACATGGCACAGCTCTGAGCAGTAGTAAGCTTTGCTCTGAGGAGCACTGCAGACCACAGCTGCTGCTGCTGCTATTTAAAAGGCAAGGCGCCGAACATTGCTTCACTCACATGGCGCCCAGACACTGAAGCTTGCGGTTCGGCTCAGACACGCTCTGAAATATCACGCACAACTTCTCTCTCAACTGACGCTGAACTATCAACAACATCGCCAAAGATTTAATAAAGATCATGCAATGTAACGTCAAACAGGAAACATCGTAAAATCATCGCTGAAAGAGCTGCATAACTATTTATTTCTCAATGATCAATGTCGACAACTGACACATTGGAACAATATTGGAATTGACAAGCTATTTTCTTCTCTTTCGATTCATCACAAATAAATCGGTAAGTTTTTTGGTGATTAAAAATTTTTGGCTGTTATACCAAATGATAGGAAATAGCTGCTGATTATAGCAAAAATGCCAGAGTTGATGTGTGCCCATTTTCCGGCTGTCATATTCTCCTTGCTCTTCTCCTGCTCATCACCAATTAACATATTAGCAGTGGTGTGAAGGGCAACTCTCCACTCTTGCACCTCACATTGTCACCTTCTGCATTTTTCTTTCTTTGTTGTTGTTGTCATCGGCGTAATCATGCTTCAGCTGCTGCTGCTGCTGCCATTTGCGCTGATCACTGACATTTAATTAAAGTGCTCACAGGCGCCTAGCAATGGAGTCATCATCAGGGAAGTGTTGAAGAGTGCACTAGAGTGCACCCAATTCACTTCTTCGTCCCCTCTCGATTGAATGAAAGAAAAAAGAGAGGTGGGGAAGGAACAAGGTAGTCTAGTCTGGGAAGATAAAAAGACCGAATCCGGCCATAGTGTGTGTGTACAGGGTACACAGACTGGTAACACAAACAAAGGCGATTGCGGAGCTAATTGCACTGCTCGCTCTACTTTTCTCTCCCCCTCCCATTCTCTTCTCTCTGTTGGCTCCGAGCTGAGCACTCTGAAGTTGCCCAGTGTGTTGATCATTAAATCGACGAGAAATAGGGGGAGTCCTATTAAGGCCGCTCTAGGACACACCGTCGTTTTATACTTTGCTTTTTTATTGGCTGCTGCCGTTGTTGCTGGTTCGGCTACTGCTGTCTCTCATTCATTAGGCCAATTGTTCTGGACTAGCACTCTGCCTAAAAGCAATTTGCTATTACTGAAGGGAAAACAAGTTAGCACAAACTTTGCTAAACTTTGTGTTTTTAATTCAAGTGTGCTGTACGGAGGATGACTGAGTACTTTGTAAGTTACTGCCACTTGCCCGACACTGACAATACCTTTTCTTTGCCTCTTCAATTAAGCTGCTGACATTTAGATAGGAAAATGGTAGGCAATCCCTCATCGAGATAGGTAACCAGGCTTTCTTTGTTTGCCAAGTATGCAATCTAGGGGAAACCCCCTGAGTTGGTGCAACACCAAAATAGGTTGCAGCAAATTAATTGGCAAAAATTAAATTTTAATCTGCCAAAATGATTATTAACACAGTGTGTCAGTGTGTTCTGAGGCGACTCATTTTCTCATTAGCATCAGCGACCGCAATACTTTTTGCTATCCGATTTGCTGGTCAGCAGGTTTTTATGCGGCACACGTACTCACCCGCCACTGCGACCTAGAATCACACCACCACTGCTGCCGCCACTGACCACCCGTTGATAACCAAACATTGACGTTATGTTGCCCCCTCACAATTTACCGTAATTAATTATGACTGACCGAGCGGTAGTTACACTGAGGGGCTCCTCTGGACTGACACGAACAATGCACCAAATGTCAGTGGAAATAATAAAAAGAGAACAGAAAAAATGAGTGAACAAAGCTAATGCCCGCACAAGAAAACTCTTTTTTTCAATGATTGACATATACTCTGGACTGCAGTCTTCACAGCAGTCACTGCTGAACTGCTGGGGAGAAATCAGCGGGGAGGAATTTGATTGTGTCAAAAGTATTTGCAGCCAATGAAGCGATAATGACAAGTTGGTTAGGGGTGAGAAACGGAGTAGAAAATGGCACACAATTCTGGAACAGAGAATGCACCAAAAAAGGCAGAGCAGAGCTGGCAGTTGTCACCTTCACATATTGTTCAGTGCTCTTCTGATAACAGTCCAAACACTGAACTGTCCAAGGTCCCCAATGTCCGGTGCCAAGATGTGTCAGACAGACAGCGCCCGAACAGCTGCTTATCTTTAAAAATGCATGAGTCATTAGGGCGAATTGAGACCGGGTGCAAAAATCAAACGGCTCATGAAGGAGCTTATTTGTACTGTCCTTGAACCTGGCACCAAAGACTAGGCGCTGTCCTGTTAGCTCTTCACTTCGCTGGTCACTCTCGCCAATCTAAGCCAATAAAAACGGAAAGCTAGTCACTTTCGGCCAGTCCCCTTATAATTCTCCAATTTTATTTTGCTTGTCATGTCAACAGAGAGCCGAATAGAATCGTGAACAGCACTAAGCACAGTTCATCAACTGCGGCAGCAGCACCAGCTAATTCGATTGTCATCGGCGACAGACACGCAAAGAAGACACTGCTGACGAGTGCTGCACACAGACAGACCAACAAACAGACAGACGGACAGACGAATTCAGTGAGTGAGTGAACGAGGACAAGCCAGAGGAAAGCGCCAGGATCCAATTAGCACAGCGCCCACTTTGTCTGTCTGTCAGTGTCTATCTGTGTAGCCGTCATTAGGTCAAAATTGGCCACGCAGACTGTTTGCTTTCTACTGTGTCTACCTGCACCTGCAATTAGCCTCTCTTTCTGATTCACGCCCACCTGAAATTGCAAAAAAGAAAACCTGTTTTGGAAGTGACAACATTAGCTGCCGTGCACCCGAGTGGACTCACCCCCGAGCACTCACTTTTCCCCTCAACCGAAATCACCCACGAATGTCGCAGCGGCTGTCCTGTCTATCCACCGACTTTGGCCTGCACCTCATTCGCACCATTGCCGGTTTCTTCAGTTCCGTCTTTGTCTGCCAGCGATACGGTACAGCTGCCGCTGCCGCCGCCGCTGCTGCTGCCGCTGCCGCCGTTGGTGGCGAAGATCTGACAGTCGCCGGTGGTGGTCGTCACATAGTTCAACCCTCTGCTCAGAAAAGAAAGAGGCGCAAGGAGAAGGAAAAAGAAAAGAGGAAAGGAGGCGTCAAAACGCAGGACAGCAGTCTCGAGTCGGGCGTGTCCGACTGTGACGGTCTGACGACCTCTGGCTCCTCTGGCTCTTCGCCCTCCTCCTCCTCCTCCGCCTCCTCTTCAGGCAACTCCTCTCGCTCATCCTCTTCGAGCTCAATCAGCGGCTCACTGCGCTACTCCACCAGTTCCTGTGAGCTGGTGGTGGGCAGTGGGAGCCCGGGCAGTGCTTCTGCTGCTGCTGGTGGTAGTGGTGGTGGTCAGTCCCGAAAAATTGAGGAGAATCATTGTTCATCCGCCGCCGCCGCCGTTGCCGCCGACGGCGTCGTCGTCTCCGTCAGCACGCTCAACCCGCCCACAATAGTGCTCACCACGCCCAGTGGACGTCGCCGCCAGAAGAGCGTCTCATCCGCTTCAAAGTCGAGCTCCTCTACGACGCGACGATCCCGCTTTTGCAAGAGTGGACGCTCGGGAGGAAGTCGAAGCTTGGCCAGTCGACTGCGTTTCTCCACACACCTCGCTGACTTTTGCAACTTTCACTCGGACAACGACAACTTCTCGGACGAGGAAGAGGAAGGGGAAGAGGAGGACGAGTACGAGGAGGACGCCTCCAGCTACGAGGACGAGGACGACTCCGATATGGAGCAGTCGGATGATGGTGGAGGAATGATGGGAAATGGAGGTGGTGGTCGTGGTGGTGGTCGTACACCGCCGCCGCCCCCACACCACCAAACTGCCAAGGTGAAGGTCACCGAGAAGGAGCTTACTCAACTCAATCACAAAATAGTAAGTGGACACTTCTTTTTCACCTTTTTCTATTGAGACATTTGCCAG